CACTCATGTTTGATGAAGCCTGGGAGAAAGCCTGGAGAATCCAAGCTTCAAGTGCAAAATGTACAAATACTGGAATCCCCCATCACAAGAAGGAAACTCAGCCACCTATTTGATTTGTCATTTTGCTGTACTTCCAAGATAGAGCCAGGTTTAAACTCTATCCCTGTTTCCATACCCCCCTCGATTTTTGCTTTGATAAGTGCCTGGTGGCACCACCACTGCTAAAAGAGAATCAAATGCTTTGCACATCCCCTCTCAGATTAGAGGACCGGCAACCCAGCCTCCTGCTTAAGCAAGCAGGGGGAATTGGGGCTGGGGCTGGGTACCGCAAGAGCCCTATCTGGCAGTCACAAGAAAGGAATATGACCACCTTCTTGGCCCTTTCCATCTGCTGAGCTTACTTCAGCCCAATCCACTAATGGACTTCAAAGTGCTGCTGGGGGTGGGGGTGGGAGAGTCCATTTAGCAGAGAAGCTATCATGGGATTGGCCAAAGGTGGGGCCCAGCCCCCATCCGGCTTGAAGATAATGGGCCACAAAGTCTGAGGCTTGGCTGCACTCTAGGCATAAAATATTCATTCAAGCCGATATAATACATATGCAGGAACATCATGGAAGCTCCTGAGAGAAGGGAAATGCCAACCAGGTGGCTAAGTGCTCAAGAGTTCACGGAAGCCTGGGTTAGTCCTGGTCCAATACCCACTGAGAAGTGGGTTGTTCTGTCCAAAGGGGAAACAGTCTAGACGGAGATGTTTGATTCCTAATAGATCTCACCAATGCAGACCTCTCAGGCAAACAAATTCACTGTCTTTTCACACTTCAAAGGCATCCACACTCCTTAAAACATTCATGCTGAAAAAAATGTCCAGTCCAATCATTGGTCAGTTTGAGAGTCAGGTATCCCTGTATACACCTGATTTTAATCCGAACCATGCCAATTCTCAATGATTTTTATCCAACTTTTCAGCTACTTTTCTAGTCCACAGATTGAAGAAATTATAATTTACTGAGCAGTTACATTCCCTAAATCCAAAGAGTATGGTGTAGTGACCCTATGGATTCCTAGAAACTGCGCCCAGCAGAGGGTTAGTGTATGTGGTCAGACAATTACCCATATCCCTAACCAGAAGACAACAGCCCCATCAAGAAGATCCCACCAGAGTCACAGCACAGGATGAGTGCCAGCATCCAAAGCGTGATGCTGGCTAGCTAGCCTGTCAACCTGGATTCACCACGCTGGACACGATCAACACTGGGTCCAATAAATATGTGTGGGAAGTGGCTCAGCTGTTTTCTCTTTACAAAAGGATTTGAGACAATATACTGCATCACTTGCTCCCTAGAAGAGTGACAGCAGTACCATCCCTTGTCCATTAAGTAAAGCCTGGTGGGCAATAAAAGGCTCAGAAGCCCTTGCTCTAAGTTTCTGAGGCCCAGATCCCAAACCATGTGTCCCCTCCGTAGAGGTTAGGGAAAGCTCTAGTCTATAGCAGGTGAACTCTGGAAGTTGGACCCTTCTCCATATTTGCCTGTTTCTGCTGCTGCTGGCTTGGAAAACTTATTTGGCTGATTGCTTTCAAGACTGCCAAGCCTCCAGGCCAGCAGAGTCATTTAGTAAAGAAGTGAACAGAAAGTCCAGCTCATAGTCTAAGAAACCCCAAAACTATCAGCCCCAGGCTAGAACCCTCCTTCTGCAAAAGGAAGAAGTCTGTGGCTGTGAAAAAGCACATCTAGAACAAAGTGTATTACAAAAATTATCTTAAAGACAGGGCTTGACTTTATCTCCTATTTTCACTGTTAGAAGCAAAGATGACAGCAAACAAGCAATCTCTCTTCAATATAAGGTTTGTTTTTATGCTTCAACATTTTCTAGGTGTGCTTCAGATGTGATCAAAGAGCTCCTAGGAACATTTTTAAAGAAGGGGGAGAGAAAGAGCAAGAAAAGACTGGAGACAACTGCTGGAGTTTGTTTATATATTTTCTGGTGAAACAAGTTTAAATAATTTAAATCTATATAGGTGATAGTGTACATCTGGGAAGAGAAAATGGCCCAACCAAATTCCTTGCTTTTTATTTCCTAACATGACTTTATTTCCTACAATGACTGAGTTCTGTGACTACTTTAGCTGAAATTGCCAACAGGACCAAGAAGCAGGTTACTTTATTTGGTGGTATGACCTATTCTAAAGGAGGCCAATATTTCTGACATCCCTGGCCTTCTGACCAAAGGAGCTGCTGTTTGTTCTTTCTTGCTTTAAAGAATACAGGGCCTGAAGGTGTAGCTCACTGATACAGCACTTAGCCTGTGCAAGGCCTGGGTTCAATCTCTAAAACCACACCCAATCCCCCCCAAAACAATACAGGCGCTTTGCCTTGCAAGCGGAAGGTCCCCAGTTCAATCCCCGGTACTAAAAACAAACAAACAAAAAACAATACAGGCACTTTCCTAGAACAGGTGCCTGCCAGGTTTTCCAAAGTTCCTGCTTTTTACTGGGATGAAACTTTACATGATGTCAACAGCATGACTGGCTGGGAACCTCAGAGAACCATGAAGTGGCTCAGGGGAATCTAAATTCACAAGGCAGAGACAGGATGAGTAATTCATACATTAGAACATGGTCTCAATGTATGCAACTGCTGCTCTGGGACAAAGTTACCACAGAGCAGCTTACATTCCAAAATGGTCACTGATTACTACTATCATGAAATTAGTGAACATGCATCGAGTCCTAATCACATGCTCAGGAGTATGCTCAGCATGTAAGGAAGAGATGAAATCAGCACACACATCACAAGAAAAAGATCACAGCAACAATGCATTTGGATTTAGTAAACAGCACAAAGAAACCAGAGGCAGTTTGTTACTCTCTTTGCTGAACACAATGCCCCCAACAGCCTCAGAGACAGCAGGCACTCCAGCCACTCCCCAAATGCCTGAGGGTGCCAGTCAGTCACTTGGGCTCCTCCTACCAGCTCATAATCAAGTCTGAAAAAGTTCTCAGGTAGAGAATGGCCTACCTGCTAAAACAAAGTTTGTGAGAGGAAAAGGGATGGAACAAGCAACCTCAGGAGGGCCTAGAGAAAGTGGTTCCTGGTAGAAGAGAACCAGTTGGCAAGGAGGAACTGTGTGACACAGACCAAGCTCCTTGGTTTCCGAAGACACCTGTCCCATGCAGAATCAGCTCCCAGACCCAGTGAGGAAACAATCAGCCATCCCTCCCTCTCAACCCCAACTCACTCCAGAAGCAAACAGTCCATAAGTAATAAAAGGGTCAACCACTGCAGAAAAACGCTCCCATCAGACTCCACTTGAGTTCCTAACTACCCAGGTGACAGGGAGCAAAGATAAGACAGAAAAACATAGTAAATGAAATAAGATAAGATTTTTCATAAAAGGAAGTTAACATGATACAACAGATGTACCTTAACAGGCAAGAAAAAAAAGAGAGAGGCAGAACAAGAAGAAAACATAAAGGATGTAAAGAAGGAAAAGAACAAAAAAAAGTACTGAGCCACAGGGTAGAGGAGCTTCCTTTTTCAAGGTTTTAGTTTTTTTGTTTTGTTTTTGGTCTAATAAAGTTCACCAAGAAAGGTCTGAGAGGCAGGGGATTCTCCACAGAGCAGGCAGGCAGCGAGGGACAATGGAGATGGTGAAAGAAAGGGGAGGGGTGGAAAGCGGACGCCTCACAGCTCAGAGATGAGATGACACAGAAAAGGCAAGGCTTAGATGACAAACCACAGCAGTGATTGTGAGGATAGAGGAAGTATATAGGGTCAGGAAGATGATGTACAACAAACAAAAAACTAGCATGGCAAAGGTGTAGAGTTCCTAGGAATGAAAAGACTAGCCAGTAGGAAAGAAATGGATAAGAGCATAAGGGATAGGGAAAGTAAATGTGATGCGAAGAGGGCAGGAGACTCATATGGACATGAAAAGCAACTCTGGTTAAGAAGCACAGTAAGGAAGACAGGGTGAGAGGTTTAGCAACAGGAAACAATAAGCAAGGAGGAAGACACTAAGAAGTGACAGACAAGGGAGTGGAGAGGCAGAAAGCATCCTGGTTTTTGTTTTGCAGGGTAAGAAAGCAGAAAGGCAGGCTGAGAAAGGAGCAACAGGTTATGTTACTACTGGGCGGCTGAAACACTGAATGTCCCCCACTCCCCAGCGCCCTCGACTGCGAAAAAAGAGCCCAGGGAGGAGGCTGAAAGAACACTCAGCAGGATCAGGAGACAAAGTCTTAAAAAACCAGGGCCCTGGGGTAAGAGAACAAGGACTGAAGGGAGTGGTAACTGGAGCCCCAAAGGCAACCTGTGGGAAAACTATGCGCATGACAGCTATATGGGGAACTCGAAGCGACACGAGCCAGGGCAAAAAGAAGGGAAAGTGATGAGCAAAGAGTGGGGAAACGATTTGGAAAGGTGATGAGGGTGGAGCTGGTTGGTGGGTTGCAGGCAAGAGGGAGAGCAGAGTTTGGAAAGAGAAGGAGGAGGGTAGAAAAAGCTGAGGCAGTGAAAATGAATAGGGGCGGAGAACACACTCCGAGGGAAGGACCCTGAGGGTGAAAACCTGGGACTGGAAGAACCGGTGTGGGCGCAGGGGCACGAGGCTGAACAGGCAAGGAAAGGTGGACAACAGTCCATGGCAAATCACCAGGCGTTATTTCGAGGGGCAAGAGGGTGGCTGTTCTAAGCGTGGGTGGAGGAAAACCAGAAAGGAGCCCCGATCGAAAAAAGGAAGAGCAGGGGAAGCTGAGGAGGTGACACGGAAGCGCGCAGGTGGGCGGTGAAGAGAAAGGGGGCTGGCAGAAGGACAAGTGCAGCTCGGAGTCAGGAAGAGCGAGTCCGGAGGCGGGTGACAAGGCGGCCGAGGCTTGCGGGACAGCCGTGGAGGGAGGACCCTCCGCAGGGTGCAGGGCCCGGCCAAAGAACCACGGGAGCCTTGGGCTCCTTACCTGCTCCGTGTCCCTCTCGTTCAGCGTGGGCAGGGGGGTCCGGGCGCTGGACATGGCGCCGGTATCTCGGGGGAGGGGACCCAGAAGCTCGAGGAAGGGAGGGAAGGACGGCGCGGAGCCCGGCCGGGCGGGGCTTCTCACAGCAGGAGCACCCGCCGCATGGGCCCCGGCCGGGGGTGCGGGGAGGCCGGGCAGCCACTCACGCCAGCCCGGGGATGCGCCGCTCGGGCTAGGCCGCGCCGGCTCCGAGCGGCTCCGGACCGCACCCCCCCC